AATGATTTATCCCATCTTATAAATTCTGATATTGTGAAGAAATATTATGCTTGAAAAAAAATGAAAAAATAAAAAATGAAAAAAGAAAATGAAAAATGAAAAAAAGTGAATGAAAAATGAGGACTCAAGGTGAAAACCCTAAGAGGACGGTTTGAGTCATAGGGGGTTTATCTAAGTTGAAAACCTGAAAAGACAGCTTAGATAAGGAGAGTACAGCATTAAATTTGAAAAATTCGTTGGCACGGAGACTAGCAAATTTGGAGGAACTCCAAGTTATTAAATACATCAGATGGTTGAGTTTTCAGAAAAATCTTGAGATGTGTTATCATGATTATCCGATTGTTCATTTTTGGGCTTTGTCCCCTATACCTATCCTTGTAATTTTTCCTTGGCCAAAGTTTGCCAACATATTGTTAATAAAAGACATTTTATTTCACTCTTTGTGTCCCTATTCTATTGACGATTTCTCAATCGTTCTTATTCTTTTCCTCTTAATACTCTACAATGGAAGAAATGTGTAAATGCATTCTTACTTTTTGAGTTTGAAATAATGATTGATGAATGAATAATGGCATGAAAGATTTTTACATTACATTGAATAAGTCAAGAGTGATAAAGGCAGAATTGAGATGTTCTGTTCCTGATAAGGACATTGAATTTGGAAAGAGATTTCTTACAGAAATAATGTGAGTGGAAGAGATGATTGAGAGTTACACTGACTCGATCTTAGAAGAGCAGCATAATCTGATTTTTGAAGAATCAAAGGGTTCGATGCCTAAGAAAAAAGCTTAAGAAATTTGAGTACCACAATTGAATAGGAATCAAGTAACCAACATTCGCATAGCATGCATTGAATTTCACATGCATTTCATAGCATATATTACATTTAAGAAAATATAGTGCATAAATTCAAGAAGCAGAGGTATTCCAACATCTCACATAGAGAAGACGGATGTGAAGACATTTTCAAATTTGAGAAAAAGCTTGTCAGGTAAGTTTCTAATCCTAGAAATAGGATGTCCCTTAGTATCAGGGTTGATTTATAAGACCTTCGGGCATAATCTCCTGAAATTCCTTCAAACACGATTTTTAACTCCTTTGGACATAACTGTCAAGGAGCCATTTACTTTTCAAAGTTGTTGAGCCTCTGATTAGATGAGCCATTTACTTTTCAAAGGTCATTGAGTCTCTGATTAGATGAGCTTTATTTATTTTTCAAAGTCGTTGAGCCTCTGATTAGAGGAGTTTTATTCATTTTCAAAGTCATTGAGCCTCTGATTAGAGGAGCATTGTTTATGTTTTTCAAAGTTGTTAAGCCTCTGCTTAGAGGAGCCTTGATCAAATCTTAAACACAATAAAATGAAAGAAAAAAAGGTCGAGTTGAATCTTGAATGGGTGTCTACATCTTTGCACAATTTTTGTTTCACAAAAAATGTGCAAAGAGGGGCAACTGTAGACACCCAATATGATCCAGGCCTGGATCATTTGAGCCTGGTCTAAATGGGTAGGTCCACTTTATTTTTTTATTTTGTATTTTATATTTTTTTATTTTTATTTTTATTTTATATTTTTTCCTTTATATCTTATGTATTTATTATTTATTTATTTATTATTACTATTTATTAATATTTATTTATTTATTTTTGTTATGTTAATATATATTTATTATTTAACTATTTATATATTATTATATATATTTATTATTATTTATCTATTTATATATTATAATTTATCTATTATTATTTTTATCTGTTAATATTTTGATTTATCTGATTATTTTCTTTAATTATCTATTGATATTTTTTTATTTGATTTTTATTTTTTTTTCGACTGGAGATTGGATTGGTTTGGGAGAATCCCACCGTGAATTGGGATTCAATCAGAGTTTATATTGGATTCAATGATTGAATCCCAATCCAATGAGGAGTTGGGATTGATCAGAAACTCTTCTGATCAATCCCTATAAAAAGACCCACGGATCAAAAGACTGAAGATAGAAAAAGAGATATTGGCTGAGAGAAAAAAGACAGACATAGAGAAGATTTAAAAGCTAAAAAGGTTTTGGTGTGTTTAGAACAGCTTTAAGAATCAGTAGGAATTTTTGGAGAATTTTTTACGAATTTTTTCTAGAAATTTTTGGAAAATTTTCAAATTTCGGTTGAATTTTTCAATGAAGATTAAATTTTTCAGTGATTATTTCGACCAACTTCCCAGTTTTCGGTCAGTTTTTTGGTGAACTTTCGATGAAAAACTCAGATTCCGACGAAAATTTTCAAAATTCGACGCGCATTCAACCGAAGTTCTTCGGGGTTTAGAGAGAGAGGAGAGGAAAAAAGGGAAAAGAGAGAAGAGAAGAAGGGATTCTGAGAAAAAAATCGACTTCAACCTCATATACCCTCTCAAAACGACGTCGTTTCTACGTTAAGTAACCCAGAGGATCCGCACATTTTGTCACGATCCGACCCGACCCGAGCGTCGACCCGCGTGCGACCCGTGTCTCCGAGCCGTTAGTCCAGCCGAGCCGATACCCCCGAGCCGCGTCTCTGAGCCGTTTTTCTTCTTCAAGTCGAGCCGAGCCGAGTTGCTAAGCTGAGCCGTTCCTAGGTTTTTTTATTTATTTATTATTATTATTAGATTAGAATTGTTTAATATTCTTTTATTTTTATCTTTATTCTATTTTTATGTTTATTTTACTTTTCTTTATTTTTATTTTATTATTTTATTTTCTTTAAATAAAATTCAAAAAAATATTTTTGAGGAAAAGTTGAAAGTATTAATTTTTCTTGAAAATAAGCTTTCTAAAAAAAAAAATTTTTGGAGAAAAGTTGAAAGTATCAATTTTCCTCGAAATTAAAAGTTTCAAAAAATATTTTTGAAAAAAAGTTGAAAATATCAATTTTTTCTTTACAAAAGCAATCATTTTTTTCTTCTTTTTTATTTTTTGGAATTTTTTTAATATTAAATAATCTGACGACGGAGCCTCTGCAAGTGAAACAATAATTTTTTTGCATACTCTTGAGGTGAGAGAATTTTTTCAATTTTCTGCTAAAAATATTATAGTCAATTGAGAATAATTTTTAATAATTAATTACTTGATAAATTTTTAAGGCCTATTGGATAACACAAAATTAAGTCGGTACCATCTTTTGATGGCGCGTTGTGAGGGTGCTATAACCTTCTTTACATGTAACCAAACTCCCGAACCTCGTTCTGGTTAGTAGACCCGAACCTATTCTTTTGGGAACCCTTAAGCTTAGGTGTTCCTTAAAAGGATAGATTCGTTAGGTGATCAATCGCACCTAAATAAAAAAAATTGGTGGCGACTTCTTCAAGTCAATGTCTAGCGATGAATCCCCAGATTTAGACATTATGACAAGTATAACATAATAGTAAAATATTATTAGAATAATATTTTATATTAAAGTATTATTCAAATGATCTTAAAATTTTAAAAATAATAATTTAACATTTAATACTAAAATAACATTAAAATATTCTAAAATTATTTAAATAATGTTAAAATATTAATATTTAATATTAAAAATATATTAAATATTAAATATTGTTAAATTAATATTGAATATTAGAATGATTATTTAAATGACTACTTCATACTTAATACTAAAATATGATTAAAATAATATTAAATATTTAAATTTTATTATATTAATATCTATTATAAAATATTACAATATATTTTAATATTATTTAATAATAGTAAATTTTATATATAATATAATTAAATTAATATCAACAATTTAATATATTAAATAATAGTTAATAATATTAAATTAAAACTGAATATTATTAAATTAATATTGAATAATATTTGTATTAGAATATTCTGCAAATTATATTAAAATTTTAAAAAAATTAATAATTTAATATTTAATATGAAAATAAAATTAACTAAATAATATAAAGATATTGATATTTAATATTTTAAATATTATGAAATTGATATTTTATATGAAATATTGTTAAATTAATATTTAATACTAAAATTTTACTAAATAATATTAAACATTAAAATATTATTAAATTAATATTTATTGTAAAATATTATTAAAATTTGGTATATTGTATAATTAATATTTAATATTATGAAATTGAATATTTAATACGATTAAATTAATATTTAATATTGATCAATAATATTTAATATTATTAAAAAATAGTTAATATAATTAAATTAATATTGAATATATCATTAGTATCAAACTAGATAAGCCCTTCTAATCCCAAAAGGAAATGATTAGATTTAGTAGTGTTCATATTTCGATTTTAATTAAATTAATAAATTAAATTGATTTAATTTAATTAATCGATCTATTATTAAATTATTTTGATTAATTATCAAAAATAATTTTGAAATAATTTTAATTTTTAGTTAATTTGATTAAAAAATCAATTTAATCAAAATATAAAAATTCAAATATAAAACTAAAAAACATGAAATGGATTGTTTCATTTTATAAATTGTTAAAATTTTTATCTTAATACTTTGATATTTAAATATTTTGTTGGATGATTTTATTTAATTTATTTCAAGTTTAAGAAATTAATAGTTTAAAATATAATTTAATTTAAATATATTTTTATTATTTGATTAATTTAAAAATTAATTAAATTAAATTAATAATTAATAATTAGATTTTTATTCATTAAATAATTAATAATTAATAATTAGATTCATTTAATTAGATTTTTAAAATTAATAATTTTTTAATTAATAAAAATAAAATAATATAATTCTATTAATTTAATTTTAAATAAATTTATTCGAAATTAATTGAATTAGCAGGATGAACACCTTTAATTAAACCCATTAATAAATGAAACATAGTTGAAGATTTGATTCAAAAATCAAATTGAAAGTGAAAAAAATAACAAAAATTTCCATGCAATGCAAGCCAAGATTTACTTATTTTTAAATTGGATATTCAATAAATAAAAGAAGCTTCCAAAAAGAAAAAAAAAAAAAAAAGAAAAAGGAGAAAGCGTAAGAATAGATGAAATCAATGGCAGATGATGCGGGCCCAAAAAAAGAACATAAATTGCTGGTGGAATTGTCGCAAAGTACGAACGGAAGATTTGCTGTTTTATCAGGAGTTTCGAGGTTGACAAGGCTTTTTGTTACTCTATTTCTACTTCCATATCCTTTCCTTCCCACCATTCTCCAACTTTAGCTCTCTCTTTTTCTTTTTCATTTTTTTTTTCCTTCAGGTAACCCTTTGGCTTATTTTCCATTCTTTTCTCACCTCCTCTTTTTATTTTTTAGTTTCTGTTTGATTGCTGAGAAAATATCATAAGGGTATTGATTCTTTTGTTCCATGCTCGATTTTTTCTACAGAGAAGAATATTTCACTTCAAGTTAGGCCGAAGCTCTGTTGTATGAGCATCTTAGCTGCAGAATTTTGCTTTTCTTCTAGTTTCCTACTGTTTCGCTGAAACCAAACAGTGCAAAGGTTGTTCTACTTTCAATTCATTGAACAGTGGATTTTTGTAAAGGTAATTGAGGTTCTGATTGATGGGTGTCGATTATTTTGGACTAACGATTGCTGGGTCTGAAAGTAGTATATTTCATAGTGAGAATTATCTAGCCGAAGTTAGCCAATTAGTACTATTATTAAGCTTAATTTAATGCATAGGCATCTTCAGTTCAACCTTTTGGTTTTTTTACCCATTAGAGTCAAAGCTTTTTTCTTTACGTAATGTGTATTCTGATTGATTGGGGCTGGTTTTTTTTTTTTTCTTTTTTGTGATAATAATCAGCTGGTTCTTTTTTGTTTGATGAAAAATTTGTAGATTTTATTAGTGAGGCGCGATGGGGAATGCTTCTTCAATGCTAACTCAATATGATATTGAAGAAGTTCAAGAGCACTGCCATAAATTATGTAGGTTGTCTGTATGCTTGCTTTTTCCTACTGATTCTTCAACTTGGTTGTTCTATTATCTAAATTTTGATGTTTTCTGGCTGTGGGAATGCAGTCTCTCTGCAGGAAATTGTTTCATTGTACCAAAGGTTTTGCCAGTTAGATCGAAATGCAAAGGGATTTATATCTGCTGATGAGTTCTTATCAGTTCCAGAGTTTGCAATGAATCCACTCTCTCAGGTAGTCTTTCGAGTTGACTTTGTTGGAGTAATTAATTGAATTCTGGGATGTAAATAAATATTCATGGTTCAATGTTAGTGTTTGCTTGTTGTGTTAGAGTTTTATGTAAAGGTTTGAGCTTGTTTTGTTGATGTCTTTGATTTGTTGCATTTACAGAGGCTGCTTAAGATGGTGGATGGTTTGAACTTTAAGGACTTTGTAGCCTTCTTGTCAGCGTTTAGTGCTAAAGCAAGTGTACAGCAGAAAATTCAACGTGAGTCTTCATTGTCTCTTCTGTATAGTGATTGACTCTGTTGGTTTAGGTACAATCTAATTTTGAATCAATGGTCACAATTCACAAAGTAAAAGTGTTACAGCTGATTACTTTTAGGGTTGCCTTTTTCTTGCCCCTTGCTCATTGAAGCTGTACAAATGTTTCAAAGTTAGTTAATGCTATTAAGTTTCTGTCTCAGTTATCTTCAAAGTGTATGATTCTGACGGTAATGGAAAGGTTTCTTTCAATGACATACTAGAAGTGTTGCGTGATTTGTCTGGTTCATTTATTTCCGATAACCAAAGAGAGGTAAACCAAGGATTTTTGCCTTTTTTGTTTTTTGTTTTCCTTTTATCATTATATCATACAATAAAAAAAAAAAAAAGAGCTAGAGAGGTGCAGATGATACCTTTATTCTGACCATGATATGCTTTTTCATATGTCCAATATGCGTAAATTGACGTATTTGATTTGCTGACACTATCCATGGCGGGATAATCCAGCTCACTCTTGCTGTTTGCATACTAAAAAACAATGAAAACATCTTTTATCATGAATAAATTTAGTTCGCATATCTTATTAGTAATATCTGATTGTAATGGAAAAGATAAATGAAATACCTATTGTGGAATCTGCTGTAATAACAGGAGAATCATTGTGCAGAAATGCAAATCACTCTTTCCGTAATGAATATATATATATATATATATATATATATATTTGCATCTGAATTCAGATAACTTAGAAGGTGAGAAAGAAATATGTTGTTGATTTTCTACAATTTTTTTTTTCTTATCTCAAGTGGATCTCATTGTAGGATTTGAACCCAGTAGACATTTCGACTCTAGCAAAAAATGGAAAAAGAACTAATGTATCACTCTGACTAACTAATAGAGTAAAAAAGAGCAAACTGATCTTGTAGCATCTTTATTTTCTATTTTAAGGCGGATGATTTTCATTTTCCCTGAATAGCCAGGTGTTTAGGAATCTTCTTAAAGGCATTTACATGATTGGTTCTATTTTCACATTCAGCCAGTCTATTTTGGATAGAGATAGGATTCAAAAGAATCTTTTTCGCTCTTCATTTTCTTTTCATCTGATCAATATATGCCATGAGCACCTTCATTAGTAGTTTAACCGAGATGACCCTAAACTAATGAGAAAATCCTTTTTAATGGGCTAGATTTCGTACTTGAAAGGCTTTCTTCAATGATATCATTAAAAGTCCCCATAAGATATTATATTGCAAAAGTTGAGGAGTGGTTGAACATTTGAAAGAAATAATTTAATGTCATTGGGCTCAAATAGCATTGAGGCTGTTGATGAATTTCTACGTTAGTTTATGATCCTTCACTAAATCTCATTTCATGACAGTTAGTAAACTCTGATTAGATCAAAGATGTCTCAAGTAGGTTGTTTGCTGCCAAAAGTATGCATTGGAATGGGTTAGTGGCTAGTATCTAAGGACTAGTGATTTATTGGTTTGCATCATATGACACACTTTGCCTGGTGCCTTTGACTATTGCATTCTTAAGATTTTCTTTAAATTACAGAATAAGATTTTCAAAGTTCAACGTCATTCTGTAATTTAGAACTAAATATTTCCATTTTGTTGTAGTCTCATAATTTTGGTTATAAAACTATTTTAAATGAGATAGATTGTTTTATGGTTTCTCTATTATGGTTTCTCTATTAAGGATAGCATCATGTAAGATTACTTTAGATGTGAGTGGTGTATCATAAAACACATTACCCTTTTGTTCTTTCTCTTGCAGCAAGTCTTGACCCAACTTTTGAAAGAAGCAGGTTACTTGAGGGACTCTTACCTAATGTTGGATGACTTCATCAAGGTCCTTTCCTTTCTATTTTATATTTATTATAAATATTCAATTTCTACCAATTTTATGTTTTTTGCATAAAAGTTTAATTTATAAGGCCAGTAAAAAGAAATAAGTGACAGGGAGAGATCAATATATTTAAAGTTAGAGGCTAGGACATAGATTAATGATATAACTTTTCTTTCTTTCATCCCACTGGTGCCACCAAAGAGAATAATTTATTTTAAAAAAAAAAAAGAAAAAGAGAGGTGAAAGTATTGTTGGACTAGATGGTAGTATGACTAAAAACTCTAGAAAATATGTATTTTTATAGCATCATTAAAATATGTATTCTTATGAGATATTGTAATAGGACTACTTGACACCTTTGGGAATTCTAAACGACCATTTGTTATAAGAGCTTTGCTAAAAATCTTGTGAAAAGCCTCTTTCAATCCCTAGCTAACTATATTCAAATGCCTTTTCTCTCATCCCTGGCTGACTATATCGAAGTGGCTTCTCTTTTTTTCTATCTCGGTGTCTCTCGTTTAAATTCACAAGTAGTACAATGCTATTCTCATATTTATAAGAGAATGCAACTTAAGATGATCCATTTGGTAAGGTGTTAACCATTTTAACTTAGGATTTCTATAGATTCAAGTAACTAGCTTAAGAACTCAAGAGCAATTAAAAGTTGTCAGTTTCTTCTTGTTGCATAATCATGAGTGCACAACCTCACATGATACAACCTCAATAAGCTTAAATGGGTTTTGGCATAAATGACAAAGATAACCAGTAAATGGTTTTTAAGTCTTGAAAAGGTTAAACCACTTGTTGATATGTAGTTACAGCAAGCATCCTTAAACTACAGGGAGAGAACAATACCTGTAAATTGTTTCCTGATCCATTTCTATTTGTTTTTGCACTATGTTGAATGCTTAGAATAGAACTAGGGAGAAATTTCATTTATTGTTATAAATGATGGAATCTAGAATTTTTTTTTTTTTTTAGTTAACTAATATATCCAGATTATTTTGTTTTTAGTTGTCTTACTTTGTATCACATGCAGGCTAGAATTCGTTGCCAACTTAAAATTTAAATTGTAATGCTTTCTCTTGATTGATTCTTTGGCTGTAAAAGGTTTGAAGTGGAGACCATAGGTGTTGACTTAGCCTGTTTTTGACCATATATCTTTAGGTTCTATGCATGATCTCCCTCCCTGGTACAATTGAGCAAGAAAAAGTGCGGAGAGAGAATCATTGACCTTTTACACTAGATGAAAAGACCTTTGACCAACAACTATTATGCCATGTCTGAATGGTTTTATACCTTATCTTAAAGTTTCATATTCTGTTGGCTAAAAATGGAAGGACCAATTCTCAGCATTATGGGTACGAGAATATTTTGATCTTTTCTCCTGGTTGCAAAGGTTTTGACAGTGTCTGCTGGGTTGAGTGACTTAAACCTTGAAGCTGGTTGCAAAAGACACTTGAGATATAAGAGGGGTTAGTTGTAGCTTGCATTTCCTCCTCTTTCTGCAACCAGCAACAGATTCATACCATGTGGTAATTTGCATCTGTGGGATCAATGGAGTAAACTATTAGAGATGGCAGTGTATTAGGAACGCAAGAATTTGACTCTTCTGATAAGAGCAGATGAGTTCAGAAATATTTACATCTTCTGCAATAAAGTAAATATGCTGAAATTCTGATGTGATTTAAAAAACATTTAGAAACTGCATTAAGGGTCTATCATAATCCACTTGTTATTATGTTGCCAAAGCATCCTTTAATGGCTAGCTTCAAATAACTGTTGGGAAGCGGGGTCACCCCTGTTTGTATTACCACCATAATTTTGATGAAATTATGGCTTAGTCATGTTCTACTTAGGAGACAATCCATATATTTACATTGCTTTGTATTTGGCACAGGTTTTCGGGAGCTCTGGCCTAAAAATGGAGGTTGAAGTTCCAGTTGATTAAGCTAATTTGTGCAGTCTTTCCCCTGAATAATTGGAGACGAACTAACTGTATGCATCATACGAGAGAAACACATATTAGAAGCATACATAATACACCTATACTATTCCCCTTTCATGTTTCCTTACCTCAGATCCAATAAATAATTAAGCAACTTAAGTATCAAAATAAGCTTCAGGTCTCTGTAAATGTTTCTATTTATCTTCAAAATTTTCAAGTCTGAGAAATGTAATTTAGGAGTTCAAGATTCTTGTTTCCTTGTCCTGCTTCTCCTTCTTCTTCTCTTATTTGAGTGATAGCATTTTCTTGGACCATATTGGAAACTGTATAGTTAAACAGTATGATGACATTCATGGTCTTAGACTGGACCTGATGTGATAAATCAATAGGTTTTTTTATCTCTTTCCTAAAGAAACATATGGCAAGTCATGGTAACAGATGCCATCTGATGGATTAAAAATGCTCAGCAAGGGAACTGTGAGCGAGGGTAATTTACGCAAGGGTTTTTTTTTTTTTTTTTTTGAACAAAAGAGGTCATAAGAATAAGAGAAGGAATTATAGTTGTAAATGTTAAGATTTTAACTTTAAATCTGCAAAATGTCATTTTTTAAGTGCCAGGGGAGTGTAACACTCCCCTTGAATGTGCATGGCAATTTTTCGTTTAACCTGTCTCATGTTCTTTCTAGAAACTCAAAAGCAATCTCTGTTCCACTGCAACTACTGCACACTGCTTGCTGCAATGGCAAACTCTCTTAGAAGAGACATGCAAAAGGAAACGTTCTTTCTGGTAAGCAACAATCATTCACTATCATGCTTTGTTTTATGCGAATAGAACTGCAAGAAATAAATTCCATAAAGCAGAACCATTTGATTGCAAAGCTTTTTTTCTAATGATTTTTTTCCTTTATACTTCACGTTGCCTTTCAGGATTGCTTAACTATGTTCTTGCCAATTTCCTAGAAATTGGTGTTTCTTCGCTTATGATTCTATTTCCCCGTAATTTAAGTTTGCATTTATTCACACCAAAGAAGAAATACAACTTGCATTACGGTGCCACAACCCCAGATTCTTTACATTTGATACAAACGGAAATGAGTTCAGAGTTCTTAAATGTACAAATTAAATTTCTCCTCTATAACCACCAGAACCAAAATAATCCCTTCTGGAATTTGCAATAGCCATGCTTTTCTGATGCTCTAACTTGGGACAATCCCGAATACGATGCCCCAACCCACCACAATAAGCACAACCCTTTACACCACTTGCATTGGTGATCGCATCCACATCTTCCAGTGGATCATTGAGCTCAGATAAGACAGGTGGAATCCTCTGTTTGGCTTCTTGTAATAGGTGCTTCAAATCAAGCAGGGTTGTCTCACTCTGATTCTTGTTTATAAATGTGGTTGCAATTCCTGTTTTACCACATCTTCCTGTTCGTCCTATTCTATGGACATAGTTTTCAATTTCTGCAGGCATGTCATAATTGATCACATGTTGAATATCAGGAAAATCCAAACCCTTTGACGCAACATCAGTTGCAACTAAGACATCCTTCTTGCCAGCTTTAAAGGATGAAATGGCATACTCTCTCTCTTCTTGGTCCTTGCCTCCATGGATAGCCACAGCTTCAACTCCTTTCAAGAGGAGATATTCATGAATGTCATCCACATCAGCTTTATTCTCACAAAATATTAAAACAGGAGGAGGGGTTTTTTGTAGGCATTCAAGGAGGTAAACAATCTTCGCTTCTTGCTTCACATACTCAACCTCCTGAATCACATCAAGATTTGCAGCTCCTGCTCTCCCAACATTAACAGTAACTGGCTTTACTAAAGCACTTCTGGCAAAGTTCTGAATTTTGGTAGGCATGGTTGCAGAGAACAAAAGGGTTTGCCTTTGAGCTTTAAAGTGGTCAAACACTTCTCTGATGTCATCTTCAAAGCCTAAATCCACTAGTCTATCTGCTTCGTCCAATGTCAAGTACCTATAGAAGAAAAACCTATTGCTTGAGTATCATAATCTATCTAGAGGGAAAAAAGTTTAATTTAAAATCTATGTTTTGGGGGTAAAAAAGCCAGCTTTAACAGATTCAACACATTTGCTAACTTTGGAATTAAGTGTTAGTACTAAAAAAAAAAAAAGAAAAACGCAGAAGCACCTAAGATTACATAAAAGCAAAAGTACATACAATCAATAAATATAAACCAAAATTAATAACAAAGAAAACCAAAAGGAAGTACAGAGCCTTTTCCCAATAAATCTAACGCCAAGAAATTAACAAACAAACCAAAATTAAGCTCGCTACAACAGATTTGACACCATACAATATCTTTGAAAATAAATGCAAGAAAAATTGCAACATAAAGCAGAAGTAAAGAACACTACATATTTTCACCATACATAAATAAACAAATAGCAATGCACATTGGCAAAAGTACAGAGAGATATTTAAACATGTGAGAACAGATTAAAAGGCAAAACAAAAGTGCTGGTAGTTTGGTCCCCCAACCAAGCATCTATAGCATTTAGAATTTCTGATCCCATCAATTGCATATGGTGGCAGCTTAAGTTACCATAACCAACAAAATTCGAATACATATTGAATTCATGATAATGAGACTAAAAGTAGCAGGTTAGCTAATTGACAATGGTGTTACCAAAAGCTTTGAAAATAATAATCATACCTGCAATTGTCTAAATTCATCTTCTTCTTGGCAAGCATATCCTTCAGTCTCCCAGGAGTAGCCACAACAATGTGAACCCCCTTCTTCACAACATCCAACTGAGACCTCATATCAACGCCACCAATACAAAGCAAGGGTCTGAGTTCTGGATACCCAGTTTCCCTCATAGGCACTAAAAACTGCTCCACGACCTCAAATGTCTGCCTAGCAAGCTCTCTCGAAGGACAGACAATCAACCCAAAAGGACCTTCTCCTGGAAGTATTGGCATCATCATCTCCTCCTGCAATGCAATCATAATCAACGGAAGCACAAACACAAGTGTTTTCCCTGACCCCGTAAATGCAATACCGATCATATCTCTTCCAGACAAAATAACAGGCAGGCCTTGAACTTGAATTGGAGTTGGCTGCACAATTCCCTTAGCCTTCAACTTCTTCAATATTGGATCCGGAAACTTCATATCCTTAAAATTCTTAATAGGAGGAGGAATATCTTCCCCATCAACAATAATATGCCATTGTTTTCGAATCAGATCCCTATCCTTTCTCGACATCCTTCGAATATGCAAAGGCGGTTTCCATCCAGTCAACAAGGGTTCAGTATAAGTAATCCCTTTTGCCAATTCCCGGACTGACATAAGCGTTTTCCTATCGGATAAATGTTCAATCATCTCTTTTTCTTGTTGTACAATTTGTTCCATTTGACTGATCTCGGGTTGGTCCTTCTTAAGCTGAGTTGCTTTCACGAGCAAACTAGGTTTTACTTCAGCAAGATTGGATTTTTCAGTTTCATCTTCAAGTGCAGAAGACTTGCCATTCCTTTGTAGGATTTTTTGAGCTTCCATGGCTCGGCGCTTGGCGACCGGAATATACTCAACGTAATCATCATCTTCCTCCATTTTTATTGTTCTGTATTACCCAAAAAAAAAACCCTAAACAATGATGTTCTGATTACGGCGGAAAGGTTTAATAAAAAAATCAATTGCCGAAGTAATAAAGCATAAAACCCTAAAATTTTCTGTGCATTCGATAACGAAGCTATGCTAGAGAAGGAAAAGGAAGAAGGAAAGTCGAAATTAAAGTTGGGAATAAATACCTTTGTATCTAGAACACCAGGTGGCAGCGGAAGGCGGTGGCGAGGTGACAGATGGCAGGTGGTTGTTGCAGTGTCTGAAGGGGAGAGACGGGGAGAAAAAGGGATTGAAGGAGTTCTGTGATTGTTGAAGGGTCTGACATAGACACGAGGTGTGAAGCTACGTCGTGTTTTCTATGCATAAATGAGGATGGAGTCGAAAACCAATTTTACCATCTCTAGCTCGGAAGACCCAACTCCAAACTGTAGGGAGCTATCCAATGGGCTGGTTCGGTCCGGCTTGGATGTGGCTTGAACTCTGAACTTATTACTTGTGAAGCCCGATCTTCCTGAGAGAGCAGTCCTCACTTCTTCTGAAACGCCCTAAAGAGTAAAGCCCACTTAGGTAGCAAAACCTAAACTCATGTACTGGTATATGTATATTTTTAAATTACAAGTATAGTCAATCAAATAAATTTATCAATAAACTAGAATATAATTAAACAAATTAAATATTAAGTTGAAACAAATCCATACATAATTGAGTTTGAACCTAAGATCTCATGATTTTAAAGTCTCTTCACTGTCACTAAGCCAAACTCTTGTTGTATTTATGTATATTTATTTTGAATTAAACACATATAAGCATGTAAAAATTATAATATCATAATTTTTATTGACACGTTAAATATGAATTTTTTTTTTTATTTTTGCCATCCATATATGATTTTTATTAGAGTTAATAGCATGTATGGTCTCTATATTTTGGATCAAATTTTATATTAGTCCTTAAATTTGGAAAAGTTTTAATTGAGTCATCAATTACTTAAACATATGTTAATGTAGTCCTTTCATTTGTCGGATTATCTACATTGACCGTAAATTCTACATAGAATGACACATAATTTTTCAAACTTTTATTATGTAAATTTTTTTTGTTGTTTAATCAGATTATGTGAAATTTTTATACTTTTTAAACAAATTATAAAACAAAAAAGGTAAAAGACTAAAAAAAAAAAAATTGACCAGACAAAAAAAAACCTTTAAAAAAGAGTAACTTTTATTGTAAAAGAGAGAAGAGTCTTAATAATAATAATATTATTATTATTATTGTTTTATTTGTTCCAAATCGAAGGCCTTAGATTTTAAAGGTGGGAAAGTTTAAACAAGAAGAAGAAGAGAATGGTTAATAGTATTGTAGGGGAATAAAATGAAAGCATATTTGGTCATGGATGGTGGTTATATTTACGAAGAAAAAAGCATCTTACCATTCTCAAAACTTCTCTTTTCTTTACCAATGATGGCTTCACTGTTTATTAGTCTTCCGAGTCGATTTGTAGCATCCAAATCCTCGTGATAAAGGTGAAGTTATTCTTATGGATGCTCATGGAAGATGCCTACTCACTGTGAGAAAAAAAGGTATATTTTTTTTCCCATTTGAATGATTTGGCTTTGAATTTTATTTAGTGAAATGCGAAAAGAAATGAATTTTCTTTAATAAGTTATTTTATGATGTGATTTGGATAAATGGGTGTAGATTTGATTTCCATATGGTTTAAGAAGTTTTGATAACTCATTCGTTGAAGGTTCTGAATTCTAAGGCAACTCACCAATATACTCTTTCTTTTTTTTTTTTTTTGGTATTCATTTTTTGCAATATCAAATGTGCTAAATTACCAATTTTAGTTAAACTCAAAAAAATTGCAAAAATTTTTTTTTAACTGGTTTAATTTTTTTAGTAGACATTGCAAAAGTGTTTTTTGCTTTTTTTTATTTGCTTAGTAGACATTAGAAAATTTTATATAATAAAAGTTTGGAAGAATATGTATTATGTCACGTAAGATTTGTCATCAATTTAAATGATTTAGCAGATCGCATTGATACGTTTGGGCAATTAAGGATTTAATTAGAACATTTCAAAACTAGAAACCAATATAGAATTTAACCTAAAGTTTAAGAACCACGTGTGTTATTAACTCTTTTTATTAAAATTTTAAACTGTGTTACTTTAATTTTTTTTATCATATTATTTTCTTATTATATTTGAAATTGTCAAATCCAATTTTAAGAAAGGTTAAATATAAAAATGGCCTATATACTATACTTTTTTTGTCATTTGGTATCTAAACAAATAAAATTTTTAATTTGGTATTGAAACTTTCATTCCGTCATTCACTTTGGTACTTAAAATTAACATTGTTAGTTAACTTACTGACATGCATGAACATCTAATAAGATGCTAACACGTGTCAAGTAGTTCAACTAGCATCAAATCATCAATTGTCATATTAACATTAAAAGAAAATTTTTTTAAAATTCAAAAAAATTTTAAAAAATTCTAAAATTTTTTAAAAGAATTAGAAATATTTTAAAAAATTATTAAAAATAAAACTGGAATACTTAAAAATTTTAAAAATTTTATTAACATTTAAAAAATAAAAAAACTCAAAATTTTAATAAAAATCTAAAAAAATTCAAAAAATTTCTGAAAATTTCATAAATGAAAATTTTAATAAAAATAAAAATTTCTTAAAATAAAAAAAGATTCATCAAAAACTTTAAAAAATTGAAAATATAAAATTTTTGAAAAAAATTTAAAAATTTTAGAAAAATTATAAAAAGCTTTTTAAATATTACGAAAATTTTTCTTTTTTTATATATTTTATTAATTTTACATAATTTTGTTATTTTTTGGATTTTTATTAAAATTTTAAGTTTTTTTTTTTATTTCAATCAGTAAATCAAGTCAACAATCTAATTATTTATAGTATTTAATTCTATAATTATTATATTATTTATAGTAACAATTTCTTTAGCTCTCAAATATCAAGCTCTTTTTTACTTTTCCCGAAAACTTTAGTATTTTTTTGAAGCTGGCTCTTCCCCTGGCGCTTTTACCTTGATTTTTTTCTAAGGGAAATTAAGTTTAATTTTTTAAATAAAGTTTGTGAAAGTTTTTTATTTGAAATGATTTAATAAAAATTAAAATAAAAATTAAAATCGATAAACTAAAAAGTTTTATTACATAAATTAAGTATGTAAAATTTGAATTTAAATAAATATTTTTAATAAAAAAATTTGAAAAATTTTTTATTGTTGAATAAATACTCGATAACTTTGAATTATAAATTATATTTTTAATAATTTTTCTACATAATATTACTCATCTAATTGAATTTTATCAATTTATTTATTTTGATTTTAGTTTTTATTGAAATATTTTTAATAAAAAATTTAACAAATTTCACTTAAAAATTATTTTATAAAATTTTTCTTGTTTTTTATAGTTGAAAATCAAAGGCCATTGCCATGACGTAGGAGTGGATGATAACTGGGTTTTTTTTTTTTTTTTAAACAACGCTCAAAAAAATCACTAACTTAGACAAAAAGAGAAAGACTTTTGATGAAGGGAAATGACTACATAAAACAATTATATCAGGTCAGTATATACATATATATATATATATATATCATTTAAATTATGTCATATAATAATATTATTAAAAAATTAATTATTTATTATAAAATAATTAATTAATTTATTAAAATAAATATTTATTATTTAATTATCACATATAATATATAATAAATAACTAACATTTTTTAATAATATAATTAAATGATATGATTTCAATAAAACAAATATACGTTAACATGGCATAATTGTTTTATACAATCTTTTCTTAAGAAAGAGAGCCTTTTCAATAGGAAAGTGAAAAGATAAGCATGATACGAGAGGGGGATGGCTAAAGTTCTCATCTAGTAGGGCTTAATTTAACTATATTAAATTATAAAAAAAATAATAAACACCAATTTTATGAGTAAGACATCAGATAAATGTTAGGTTGGAAGCATAAAATATTATCTTCATGTTATAAGAAACTACAAATGCATAAGAAACCAATTAAGAAAATTTGTTACCAACAACAACAAAATCTTGAAACGATTTAACTTCTAATGAAATTTTATGTTTTTTTTTTTTTTTTTTTTGTTAAAGTGAATTGAGAAATTTTGCAAATAAACATAGAAGATAAAATAAGAGTAAAATACATATTAAAGCTCCAACTAAAGACATAATCAAGTTGAGTTAAGCCGAGTAAGTAAACTACAATACTTGGGCTTGAGTTTGAGCTCGAGCTCGACTCAAATATTGAAGTTTGAAACTTGATTCAAATTTGACCGAATTTTATTTATCAAGCTTAAACTCGATTCAAGATAAAATTCGAACTCATTCGATATTAACTTATTACCTAATAAAAATTTAGAAATTTAATTAATATGCTTGATCGTAAAACACAATTAGTTGATTTGAAATTTAAACTAAAACTTAAATTGAGATGTTTTTTTTTTTAAATAATGATATTTTCAAAATAATATCGTAACAATATAAAAAACTCAACATCAAATTAAAAATTTTTCTAAACATAAAAAAAATTAGAAGTCTCAACCAATTAAATTCAAACAACCAAATCCAAAAATTCCTCAACATAAAAAATCGAAAGTTCTAATATCAAGATAACAATAGTTTCACTAAGGCAATATTAAAATTGTAAACAAAAAAAAGAAGCGTTAAAACAAGCACTATTATTGGCATATATTATTCAAACACTTTCTTTTTTTTTTCCGTTAAGTAGTTAAAGTAGAAATAAACAACATTCAGTAGCTATTTTTTAGCCAAGGGGCGTAGCTAAAGGTTTAGCAAAATTACTCACTCAACCTTCAAATGTGCAGTAGTAGTTCATATTTGGAGTTGACGCTTTTGATTTTTCTATGTAAACTGATGTTAATTGAAGGTAAGGGTAGGCATGTAGATACAACATGCTCAATTTACAAACAGTTATGTTGAAATGAGGCATTAAGGAAGAGTGCTAGAAAGGAAAAGGGTGATTGCTAGGATGAGATGGGAAAAGAGAGAACAAAGACATCGTTGAAAGGGAGATTGAGGGAAAGGAAAAGCAAATGAGATTTGAGAAAAAGAGTTAAAGTGCTTAGGGTTATATATATATATATATATATATATATATAAGGGTAAAATTATAAAATTTTAATTAATATAATAAAAATATATATTTAAATAAAAAAAATTGATTAAGCTCATAAGTCGTTGGAGTGAAGTATTAGGATAGTTGAATTTGATTTACTTCGTAAATTAAGCTGTTCGAATTCGAGTTCGATTCAATAATAATCGAATCGAATTCGAATTTTATTTGAGTTGAACTCGAATAATTTACAAGTACAAGTGTATTATTTACACCTTTAGCTTCGACATCTTGTTATTTTTGCATGTCTTGAAATTTAATATATAGTATAAAATCAAACATATCTATACACATTTCTTTATTTGAAAATACTATCAAAGTTTGTACAAATCATTTTTCAATTTAAGAAAATGATATTTAGACATTGTTATAGTGGATTATCCAACATCCAATAAATTTTCAATTTCCTATAATCTTATATCTAGGTTAGACCCATTCACTTACTGCCAATTGGTTTTAGGTTAGATGTTTAATATGTTATCAAAGTCAGAATTTTTTTTTGTTGCTTTTTCTCAATTTATCACATGAAAGACTTTTTTCATCTTCACCTACACGTGATAGGCGCCTGTTAAAGTGGGTTATCATCCATCTAATAAATTTTCAATTTCCTATAACTTTATATTCAGGTTGAGTTCTTTCACTTACTGTCAATTGATTTTAAGTTTAATGCTTAACAGACGTATGCTATAAAATGATTAGAAAGGAACATAAAAACTAGTTGTGACAATGAAAACTCTTTAAACTTTATCTAGAAAATACATAGTTTTTTTCCCAGTGAGGGTTTCATTTGGCTCCGCCCTTGATTGGATGGGGTAAAAAAAGTTTTCCTTTAATAATATAATAATGCTAAATGAAAATATGCCAAAATTTGTTGAATATGTGATTCTTAAAGGTCAAGTGGACAACATTTAAATTTGATTGTGGAAGAGATTGTTTACCTGAAAAACTAACTTGGAACAATTCCCATTATTTGTAAGCATAAACAAAGACTCAAGAGTCATGACAAATTACAAGCATTTATGGAAATTACAAACATAGCTAATTCCATAATTTGCCTAGGCTATCATAAGCAAAATAATAGCTGGAAGAGAGGAAATTCTCGACGAAATGGAACCATTTTCTCCTCCAAAAAGGATTGATGAATAGAACAGTCACGAAACCCAACAAGAACACGAGATATGTTACACCAAAGCTTGCGTAGAAGGCAATAAAATCAACTTCAAACCATTTCCCTTGTGCTTCATCTGAAGGAACAATTGGCAAGTATGGTGTCGGAGGGTTGGTGCAGCGTTTATTTAATGACCGTCCACAAAGCAATGGATTTTCTTCATAACTACTCTCTTCAAATGTTGAAAATTGATTGGTGGATGGAATTTTACCAGATAAATTGTTGTGTGACACATTGAAGACTTCCAAACGCACAAGGTTGGTCAGCTCCGATGGGATTTCCCCACTCAAATAGTTGTAGGAAAGGTCCAAACTTTCTATTTCAACGAGCTTTGAAAGAGAAATTGGAATGGGACCTACTAATCGATTGTGAGACAAGTTCAATGCATGGATTGAGGATAGGTTCCCCAATGCTACTGGGATTTTCCCTGTTAGATTGTTACATGACAAATCAAGTCCGGACATCAAATATAAAAAGCCAGCCTTGTAAACCTCAAACCTATTTTTAGTGACAAAATCAAACTCAAATCGTGTTCTGGAAGCGTAAGACCGCTCAAGGTCATCAGAGATATATTTTAAGAGATTTCCATGTACCTTATAAGGTGGAGTAATATAGAAATCAGTACTATATTCTGGTGAATTGAGGATAGCACGTTTTGCCTCGATCTTCCCAAAGGAGATATTATAGAAGCATTGAGGTACTTGCCCAGAGAAACAGTTGTTGGAAAGATCCAAAGTGTTTATATTTGTCAATTGACAGAGCAACTCCGGAATTAAACCCTTTAGATAGTTATTCCCTAATGAAAGGACTTTCAAGCTAGGGAGGTTTCCATTAATATTGTAGGGAATACTGCCAGACAAGTTGTTATCTTTAAGATTCAACACCTTCAGAGCCGAGAAATTGAAAAGTTCACTTGGCATTGATCCCCAGAATTGGTTCCCTTCCAAATTAAGTTGCTTTAAAGAATTCTGATTAAAGCAATAAGGCAAGGGTCCCCTGAGAAAGTTGTGAGAAAGGTCCAAGTATTCCATTGATAAAAGTTTCTCTTTACAAGGAAACTGGCCTTCAAATAAATTCTTGTTCAGAGAAAGTATTTGTAAGCTTGTCAAATTACCAATCCAACTAGGAATTTCACCTTCTATTCGGTTGTTGCTGATATCAAAAACTTCTAATGACCAAAGTTCAACATTGTTTGGTAGAGATAGACTACCTGTGAACTGATTGTTTCTCAACACGAGATACCGTAGCTGACTCAATTTAAAATGGGAAGAAAATATTTCACCTTGAAATTTATTATGTGATAACCACAAGAGTCTCAAGTTCGTGCACCATGTAAGTAACTCCTTAGGTACTTCTCCTGAGAAATTGTTAGAGGACAAATCCAATACCTGTAACTTGCTTGTGACACAAATTGACGATGGGAAATCACCTTCAAAATGATTATTGGACAAATTAATCCACATTGCATTTGATAATATTTTTCCGAAGTCATCTTGAAGTTGCCCACTGAAATGATTGCTGGAGACGTCAACCAATTGAATATCTCTCATAGAATTTGCTGGGAGATGAAATTGACCAGAAAAAGAGTTCTCCCTTAGATTTAAAAGTTCCAACTCAGTGTTGTTTTCAACTAACCAGGTAGGGAACATACCACTCAAGTTATTGTAAGAGAGATCAATTGCTTTTATTCGATACTGGTAAAAGAGAAATTGAGGAGTGTTTTTCAGATTACAGTTAGAGAGTTTTAACGTCTCTAACTGAAACAATGGGCTTTGATGTAGATGTTCCGCATCTATCTTCAATTTGTCACCATCACAAGTAAGCATGATTGTCTTAAGCTTGGGGTGATTCATAAATAAGCTAAATTTGAATGAGCCTTCAAAATGGTTGCCTCCAAGATCAATGAGACGAAGAGAAGTCATATTGTTTAGGCATTGGGGAATGATTCCCTCAAAACTATTACCGTTAAGATCCAACTCTTGAAGTCTATTTAGTTCACATATACCTGGCAAAGGAAGAAATTTAGAGGAATATTTACATGAAAACATTATATATAATTCAATGCTAATTAAAGTTTGTTGTTTTTGCAAAAAAAAAAAAAAAACAATTTAATCGCTATATATATATATCCGGTGCATGCCTTTTAGTATATATATTTAAGCCTTTTTTATTCTTTTTGCACCAAACTGAAAGTATTACCTGGAATTGGTAAACAGCCATTAAAACCATTCCATGCCAAAGATAATGCCCTAAGCGAAGCCAGTTCCCTTACGGTAGAAGGAACATTCCCAACCAAATTATTAAAACTCAAATCTAATATCTCCAGTTTTGTTGAAGACTTCAAATCTATCACCAAATAAACAAAAATAAATAATGGTATTGGAAACACTTGTAAAGGATCTGCCTACAACTACAACTAAACCTTCAAAACATAAAAAATCTATAATGTATAAAAGAAAGGTGTATAGGAGTACGATGCATTGTGCGTATTTAAAAACTTCAAATCGTATTTCAAAATTTCAAAATTTTTATCCATTCTCATTAGTTACGTTTCAAATGACCTATATATGTTCGTAGACAACTTTTTTTTTTTATAATAATTATCCGTAAACAACTTTCATTTTTACTAAATTAGTAGATTAGGTTTTAGAAAAAGAATTGAATTTTTTACTTTACCATTTAAATGTAAATAAAATTTAAAATCTAAAATTTTTTATTAAAAATATGATTTTTTATTAAAATTCAAAATTACTTTTAAAAAATTTATAAATATTTAAAATATTTTAAACTTTTTTAAATATTAAAAATTGATTTTAATACAACACTAAAAAAGAAAATTCAACCAAAAGAAAAAAAAAAGAGAAAGGGAAAGAATCGGGGACAAAGAGGAAGGATTGAAAGGAAAGAGAGAGAAGGGATCGGGGAGGGGGCAGGCGGCCGTTAGAGTCGATTGGCTAGTTTGGGGCAAATCGGGCTTGATTTGCCTTGGATTAGTGTTGATCTGACTCATTTCTTCTAGATTTTTATCTATTAAAATTTTTATTTTTTTGTATTTATTCAAAATTTAACTTTTTTTTATTTAAATGAAAATATTTAATTTTTGTTTTGAATTTTTTGAAAATTTTTATAAAATTTTTCATATTTTTTAAAACATTTGTAGCAATTTCAAATTAATTTTTCATTTTTTATTTTTTGTTGATGTAACAATGAATAATATGACGATTATTGAACTTTAGTGTTAGGAATTTATTATATGTTTTGTCCAAACAACTACCTAATTAACGAAAATAGTCCCTAAAACTAAAGTATTCAATGAAATGTAAGTTTAGAGATTTAATTATGATTTTTATTACATAAGTATTAAATTAACAAAAAATGTATAGTGTTTAAGCCAAATGAATTTTTAATCCTTTCTCAAATTCATATCTTTAGTAGCAAATGATGTTCAACAAAAAAAAATTTATGTAAATATTTTGACGAATAAAACCAAAGCCAAAGTCTGCAAACCCATCTTCCTTAACTGGAAGATCAAACTCAAAGTAGAATAGAAACGAAGATGACCTTGGGAACAACAACTCAAACATACAAAAAGCCATGGTAGAATGGAGGAGGAGGCTGTGACCTATGAGAGACTTTGGGGTGAAACAATTTCGAGGACTTGGGAGAGGTTTTGGAATTCACCTTATTTTGTGCTTAATGTTAAGCTTTGGAAACAATTTAGGTTTTCAAATCCATTGTAATCTTTACCTTGTTTTTTTGTTATACAAGAGATTTGTTTTTGTTATAGAATAAATTTCTGTGGAACTGCACATACATACCTTGGTTAGAGAGGGACCCTTCCATGTAATTAAAAGAAAGATCGAGAGATTTGAGGGACGACAGAGATTCTGACAACCTCATAATATCTTTGTCAAAGTCGTTGTAACTCAAATCCAAGTACTCCAACTTTCTTAGTTTAGATAACTTTTTTAAATCTAAGAAATTGTAAAGAATGATTGTCAACACTCAACTATCATCATACCATACTTTATTTGAATAATTAGAGAAAGAAAAGGAGAAATAATAGAGCATTGAAGAGAAAAAAACCAACTAAGGAAAATGCAAAATTCAAACTTGTTTAGAGATTACCCTGCATTTTAAGAGAGCCTTCTAACTTGTTGTTGCTCAGATCCAAAAACTCCAAGTTTTCAAAAACAGATAATTCTGCACGAAAATGATACTCAACAACCAACAAGAATTACATTCGAAACAACATTTCAATTGAATTTCAAATCAGACTTTCTTCTCCTTTCAATAACAATAACCAAAAAAAAAAAAAGCATTTGGTAAATTTTTTTATTTTAAAAAATAAAAATAAAAATAATGCTTTTAAATACATTGGAGTTTATTGCACGCATGAAGCTGTTGCTCACAGTCTTTTTTAATTATTTTTAAGACTTTTGATATGTGGGTGTTCTATGCAAAATATCGCTCTTAACTTATTTTGTAATTAATACAAAAATAAAAATAGAACGAGTTTATTGTTAGAAAATTGTAAAATTATATTAAATCTTTGACTACACTTTCTTTTCATAAGTATTTGACTAACACTTTAAAACAACTAATTAAATATGTACGTAGTATATGTGATAGTCTAGGTGTTTCTATGAAAGAAATTAATATATTGCAATAACTATATTTTATACATATATATGGCTTTAAAATACTTTAAATATATTATTTATGTTAAATTTTGTTAATTTTTTTTAAAAATTCGACATATATAAAAAAATTATTATTTAATATCATTTAGTAACTCTGTTATAATTATTAAAAAAATCTTAATTTAACCACACTAAAAATTAAAACAAATTAATACTTAATATGATATTAATAACAAATACTAGACGTACCTTGGACAGGAAAGGATCCTTCCATGTCATTGTAAGATAGAATCAACGTTTTAAGAGACGTGAGTGCACTTAAGGACCGCAAAGAGATATTTGAAATATAGTTAAAAGAAAGATCCAAAGTCTCAAGCTTATGCAGTCTCAACAAGCCACTGGAACCTGTAATTATATATATGTATAATTACAATTATCAAATTAAGTAGTCAAATAAATTTCAAAAATAGTATGTAATTGTAGCAATTTATTAATCAATGTACATATATTCATTCAGTAGGGTATATGTTATATAGCATTTAGCAGCATACCTTTCTTTTGAATCATATTAATCCAATACGAACTTAAATTGAAAATCCTTAACTCCTTAAATGGTTGGAATATATTGTGAATTTAATCTAATATTTAAAATTTAAAAAGTTTTAATGAGATATTTAAATTATAAATTTATTAATTAATGTGATACCCACTTTTAATGTAATTAATCTTAAATTATGTACGTAACGGACAAATAATCCTTTTACATATCATATTAATTAATATATTTATAGTTTAAATATCACATTAAATATTTTATTATAATTTAAAAATAATTTACAACATTAATAATTTTTTATAAGATTAAAAATTTTTATAATAAAAATTTTATTTTTACAAAAATTTAGCTACCATTATGCATTTAAGCAACTTTGCATAATGTCATGTATCAAAAGAAACATTGCAGAGTCTTTTAGCAACGTGCATATGTCACGGACCTAAGGGGAAGTCCTGAATCTCACATCGAACATAATAGGAAGGTCACTGGGATATAAAAAGATTCACACCATCTCCGTCTTGTGAGACGCCTTTTGTAGGACCAAACCGTGAGGTCAGGAGGGTCAGAGCGGACAATACCTCACAAGGATGTGAACCGTGACGATCAGACTGATCTGAGACGCCGGAAGGGTTAATACCCGGGTCCCGGAGCCGCGCTGGTTCGAAGCTTAAGTCTCGACCCGTGACACATAGACATACATTTACGTGTGAAAATTTTTTGATCATTCAATTTGTAACAATATTAATTATTATCAAGAAATAAAATATTTATAAAAGACATGTCGAAAAATGTCTAAATCATATTTGAAATTTCAAAATTTTTATCCATTTTCGTTGGTTACATGTCAAATGACACACACACATATATATATATATATATATATATCCATCCATAGACAATTTTCTTTTTTTATTAGTAAATTAAATTTTAGAAAATTTTTTCAAATTTTTTAGAAAAAAAATTTGAATTTTTACTTAATCATTTAAAATATCCTAAAAATTTAAAATCTAAAATTTTTATTAAAAATTAAAAAAACATGATTTTTTATTAAAATTCAAAATTGCTTGGAAAAAAATTATAAATTTCTAAAATATTTAAAATATTGAAAATTTTTTTAAAAAAAATTTAAAACTTGATTTTTTTAATACAAAATTAAAAAAATTCAAAAACAAAAAGAAAAGAAAAGAGGGAAAGAATGGATGAGAGAGAGGAAGCATTGAATGGGAAGAGAGAGAAAAAAGGGAGAAGAGGCAGGAGGCCATTAGAGTCTATCCGGTATCCCAATGTAGATCAACTTTGATTTGTCCTGGATCAATGTAGTATATTAGATTTTTATAAATCAAAGATTTTATTTTTCGATATTTATTCAAAATTTAACTTTTTATTTAAATCCAAATGTTTAGTTTTTTGTTTTGACTTTTTGAAACTTTTTGCAAAATTTTTCATATTTTTTAGAAAATTTAAATTTTATCTTTTTTATTTTTTGTTGACATAGCAATGGATAATTTGGTAATAAGAAAACATTTTTTTTACATGTATTAGGATTTTATTAAATGTTTTGTCTATGATTGTTGCTTAATTAACAAAAATAGTCCCACGATCAAAATGTTTAATGAAATGCAAGTTCAAATATTTAATTACAATTTTTTATTTTTTAAATAGTAAATGATTAGAAAATGTACAGCACAGGAGCTAAATGAATGTTTAATCCTTTCTCAAATTCATATTTTCACTAACAAATGATGTTCAAGCAAAAAAAAAAAAAACATAAAAATTTTAATGAATAAAACCAAAGCCAAAGTCTGCAAACCTATCTTCCTTAAGTAGAAAGATCAAACTCAGCAAAGCAGAATAGAAACAAAGATGACCTTTGGGAACAACAACTCAAGCATACAACAAGCCATGATAGAATGGAGAAGGAGGCGTGACCTATGAGAGACTTTGGGTTGAAACAATTTCGAGGTCTTGGGAGAGGTTTTGGAATTCACCTTATTTTGTGCTAATGTTAAGCTTTGGAAACAATTTAGGTATTCAAATCCTTTGTAATCTTTAACTTGGCTTTTTGTTATACAAGAGAGATTTGTTTTTGTTATAGATAAATTTCTTTGGAACTGCATACACATAAAGGGACCCTTCCATGCCATTTTCAGAAAGAGAGATTTGAGGGACAGTAGAAATACCAATAATCTCATAATATCTTTGTTGAATCTATTGAAACTCAGATCCAAGTACTCCAACTTTCTTAGTTTAGATAACTTTTTTAAATCTAAGAAATTGTAAAGAATGATTGTCAACACTCAAGTATCATCAAACCATACTTTATTTGAATAATTAGACAAAGAAAAGGAGAAATAATAGAGCATTGAAGAGAAAAAAACCAACCGAGGAAAATGCAAAATTCAAACTTATTTAGAGATTACCTTGCATTGTTAGAGAACCTCTTAGAAAGTTGTCGCTCAAATCCAAAAACTCCAAGTTTTCCAAAACAGATAATTCTGCACGAAAATAATACTCAATAACCAACAAAAATTCCATTCAAAACAACATTTGAATTGAATTTCAAATAGGGCTTTCTTCTCCTTTCAATAACAATAACAAAAAATAAATGCATTTGGTAATTTTTTATTTAAAAAAATAAAAGTAAAATAATGCTTTTAAAAACATTAGAGTTTATTGCAAGCTTGAAGTTGTTGCTCACGTTATCTTTTTCTAATTATTTTTAAGACTTTTGATATGTGGGTATTCTACGTGCCATATTGCACTTAACCTCTTCTTAATTAATACTAAAATAAAAATATAAAAATATTATTAGAAAATTAGAAAATTATATTAAATATTTGACTATACTTTCTTTTCATAAGTATTTGACTAACACTTTAAAATAAATAATTAAACATGAAGAAATACTTGCATGAAATTTTATAGGTAGAGTTTGTGAAATTTTTTATTAGAAACAAGTAAATAAAAACTAAAATTAAAAATCAAAATTGATAAATTGAAAGATTTCATCACATAGATTAAACATGTAAAATTTGAAAAAAAATTAATAAATTTTGATATATTTATTAAATAAATATTTTTAGTAAAAATATTGATAGAATTTTTATTGTTGAATAAGTTTAAATCAAATTGAAATTATAAATAATATTTTTAATATTTTTTTCTATATTATTAATTTTTACATTGAGCTTTATTAATTTATTAGTTCGGATTTTTTATTAAAGTTTTTATTTTTTATTTTTTTGATAAGAAACTTCACAAACTCCACCTATTAAACTTCATGTAAGTTTTATCCATTAAACATTTATGTAGTATACGTGGATGTGTAGGCGTTTATATGAAAAAAGTTAACAAATGCAAGAAATATACTAAATATATGGCTTAAAAATACTTTCAATATATTATTTATGCTAAATTTTGAAATTAATAATAAAATAAAAAATGACAAGTTTATTGTTAAAAAATTATAAAATTATATTAAATCTTTGACTATACTTTTTATTCATAAGTATTTGACAACACTTTAAAATAACTAACTAAACATGTGCGCAGTATATGCGGGTGTCTAGGCATTTATATGAAAGAAATTAACATATTCCAATAACTATATTATATATATATCGCTTTAAAATACTTTAAATATATTATTTATGGCAAATTTTGTTAATTATTTAAATATACCAGTTTTTTAAAAATACAATACATATCAAAATTTTATTATTTAATATTATTTAGTAACTCTGTTATATCGTATTAAAAAAATCTTAATTTAATTACACTAAAAATCAAAACAAATTAATATTTAATATGATATTAATAACAAATATTAGACGTACCTTGGACAGGAAAGGATCCTTCCATGTAATTGTTATTTAGAATCAATTTTTTTAGTGATGTGAGAGCACTTAAGGACTGCAAAGAGTTATTTGAAAAGAAGTTACCAGAAAGATCCAAAGTCTCAAGCTTTTGCAGTCTCAACAAACCATTTAAACCTGTAATAAATAACATATATGTATAATTACAATTAGCAAATTAACTAGTCAAATAAATTTAAAATATACAATGAAATTGTAGCAATTTGTTAATTAATGTACACATTCATTCAGCAGGATCTATGTTTTATAGCATTTAGCAGCATACCTTCCTTCTGAATCAGATTAATCCCATACCAACTTAAATTGAGAATCCTTAACTCCTTAAATGGTTGGAATATAGATTGGTTAAGCATAGATGGTAAGAGTTCTTCATAAATCCTTTCGCCTACATTGCCAAGAGAAAGTTCAATGACATGACCCGTGGTGTTAGCACACTTGACACTCTCCCAGCGGCAACAGTCTGGATTATCTTCACCCCATGAAGGTCGAAGAAAATAGTCTGCATACCCATTTGATTGGAAGTATGCCTTGATTTTCATTAGACTCCTCCTCTCCTCTTCATAGCAAGCTTGGTGCTCATGGAATTGGACCAACAACAATAATAAAAACAACTTACACATAGCCATTGATTTCTGTTTTGAAATCTGATGCTGCTACTGCACGAATGCACTCAAGCTAAGGTTTATATAAAAACATAAGATAGACGTGCAATGCATCAATTGGCGTCAAGCCTCAAAATATACAGTAATCCGACCTTGCTTCACACGTTTGTCCTCTGCTTCGGGATATTTTCTTTCTTCTTAGTATTTATGGTGGGATTCCAAAAGTCTTCCTTTTCAGATTTTAAGGACATCCAAAGACAAATTAGTAAGTCCTTTCGTCTGTCATATTTATTGCTTTCATTTTAGTTCAAGTCTGCTACATTCATTTCCACTGACACGATGCCATCTTTTTCAACTTTTTTACAATATTATTATTGACTCGAGATGATGACTATGAACGCACCATGTTTGCTTGTTAAATCAGTCAAGCCAGCCCAACTTTCACCTAGCCATTAATTTCTGCCCGAAATTTGATGCTACAACTTGCATGCGCTCAAGCTAAGCTTTATATAAATACATAAGATATACGTGCAACGCATCAATTGGCCTCAAGTTTCAACTTCAATATTGGGTTATCAAATTATACAGTAATAGGACCTTCTTCCACACGTTTACCCTCTGCTCCGGATATTTTCTTTCTTCTTACTAGAGTGGGATTCCAAAAGTTAAGTTCTTTTGCGTCTGCCATATTTATTTCCACAGATATGATGCCATCTTTTTCAAACTTTTTAATGACTCGAGATGATGACTTTGAACATACCAAAATTTGCTCAAAGGAAACTCCTTCATAATTTACTCAAAAAAAAGTTTCTGCATAGGTTCCTCGAGGAACACACCCCTGAAGTAATGTCAATAAAACTTCATGTATTTACTTAAACTCATTTCAAAATAATTAATTCAATATTTTAATTAGCACAATTCACACTATACAAATTGTAATAACATAAATATTTCAAATTATGAAGAGAACATAAATTAAGGATAACTATTTATAATTGTACAATTATAATTTATAAGTAGTCCAAAAATATACAATTGTAATTTATACGGATTCCAAAAATTCACAGAACAAATGATTAATAAAGAAATAAAATAAAATAAATAATTTAAATCATGTCTTCCCTCATGCATATGCTTTCCACAACTCCCACTCGTCAAAAATTCCACAATCATTTTCCTACACAATTTAAAAGCAAAGATTCCATGGGGCTTGATCTGGGGCGTGATCCACGGTGATTTAGGACCTAAAATACTAGTTGAAAACTAGTGTTTAGCCTTAGGAATCACATTGACACTACCAAAACTAGTTTCACTAGGGTAATTTTTGAATTATATAGCACTTGTTGCACTCCTATTAATTAAACATAGAAAGAAATCTGAAGTTGGAGTTTAATCTAGCTGGTTTATCATAATGGAATTAGTAAATAGATAGAGAATTTAAATGTTTTTATTAATTTATTTATGGATGAAAGAGAATTTGAGTGTTAATATTTCAGGATATATATTCTTCTGCATCTTGACATTTAATTTTAGAGTCAAGTAATAATAAATAAATTACTTTATTTTATTTTTTTCAAAAGATATATTTTAGCATATATATTAATATATTTAAAAATAATATACTAATAAAAAAGGCGAGTTAATAAAATTATAAAAAATATATTATTGTGACAACACTATATTTTCTAACAATAATAAGATTTACAATTAAAGGTAGAATTATTAATTACAAATTCTATCAATGAATTATAAATTTTTTTTATTTTTTGGTAATTAAAAATTGTAATAAAAAAGATGCACGAATAATTAATTATTAAATATTTTATCAAAACAAGAAAATTAAATGTATTTTTAAAAGAATGTAATAAAATTTTGAGATTAAAAATTACGGTGCATTTCTATCTTTTCCTAAAGTAAACCTAATATGATTTTTTGTTAAAAAAATACAACAACATAAAAATATAAAATAAAAATGAAAGTGAAAAATGATATGGAGAAGTTGAAATAAGCTCAAAAAGAAAAGATATATCTTTTTTTTTTTAACAGAATGATGCCGTCTTTTTCAAACATTTTTACAATATTATTATTGACTCGAGATGATGACTTTGAACACACCAAGTTTGATTGATAAATTAGTCAAGCTAGCTCAGCAATTCAAAGGAAACTCCTACATAATTTATGCTGAAACAAGTTTCTGCATAGGTTCCTCAAGGAACTCACTCCTAAATTGATGTCAATAGAACTTCATGTATTTCCCTAAACTCATTTGAAAATAATTAATTCAGTATTTTAATTAGCACAATTCACACTATACAAATTGAAATAACATAAATATTTCAAATCATGAAGAGAACACAAACACGTACATCGAATGAATTACAAACAAGTTTTTTTTTTTCTCTCAATTCATTCCACTACCTTCTCCCATTCAAAGAACAAATGTACAAAGAAAAAAAATAAAATAAACATTCCAAGCATGCCTTCCCGCATGTTTATGTTTTCCGCAACTCCCCCGAACAAAAATTCCACAATCATTTTCCTACTCAATTTAAAAGCTAAGATTCCGTGGGGCCAGATATGGGGCGTGATACATGTTGATATAGGACCTAAATCACTCATTGAAAACTAGTTTTTAAACTTAAGAATCACATTGGCACTTCCAAAACTAGTTTCACTTGGCTAATTTCTAAGTTATATAGCACTTGCTGCACTCCTATTAATTAAACAAAGAAAGAAATCCGAAGTTGTTTAATTCAACTCGTTTATTATAATGGAATTGGTAAATTGATAGAGAATTTAAGTGTTTTTTTTTTAATTTAAGTGTTAATATTTTCAGATATATATATCTTTTTATAGTGACAGATCTTAACATTTAGTTTTAAAATCAAATAATAATATTCAAAATACTTTATTTCATGGTTTTTTAAAAGAAATATTTTATCATACTTATTAATATATATATATATATATATGAAAATAATATTCTAACAAAAAAGTTAATAAAATTATAAAATAAAAATATTATTGTGACAACATTGTCTTGTTTAACAATAATAAGATTTACAATAAAAGGTAGAATTACTAATTAAGCATTCTATCAATGAATTATAAATTTAAAAAAAAAATTGGCAATTAAAACTTAAAATAAAAAAGATATATGAATAAATTAATTATTAAATATTTTATGAAAACAAGAAAACTAAATGTATTTTTAAAAGAATGTAACAAAAATTTGAGATTAAAAATTATGTTGTTTTTCTATCTTTTCTTAAAGTAAATCCAATATGATTTTTTGTTGGAAGAAAATTATGACAATATAAAGATTTAAAGTAAAAATAAAAGTGAAAAATTATATTGAGTGAAAATGTTGAAATAAGCTCAAAAAGAAAAGGGATCGTAGGGCATAGTTCAAATAGTTTACCTAACTTATCATATGATGGATTCATGCCTAATTAGAGTTCAATTCTTAAATTTTGCAATTTATCTTTTCCTAAAGTCCTTAGGCTTCGGTCTCTTGTATCAAAAAAAAAAAAAAGAAAAAACATTTGATACTTACTGGAAATAGAGTTTCGTTGAAAACTCTAAAAAAAATTAATTTAAATTTTATTAAGCTCACCGGATTATGATTTAAAATTTGTGATAAATTTCTTAGTTTTAAGAATTTATAAATAATAATTATTGGGTATAATAAATGGGATTTTGAACATCTTTTAAATTATAACATATAAGATAAAGTAATAAAGCCAAAAAATAAAATTAAGAATTTTAATTTTACAGTCAAGTTAAATAGATTATATATATTTATATATATATATATATATATATATATATATATATATATATATATACACACACAAAGGGATTATAAAAATTTCTGTTTGAAATTTGATGCTGCAGCTGCATGCGCTCAAGCTAAGCTTTATATAAATATATAAGATATACGTGCAACGCATCAATTGGCCTCAAGTTTCAACTTTTCAATATTGGGTTATCAAATTATACAGTAATAGGACCTTCTTCCACACGTTTACCCTTTGCTTCGGATATTTTCTTTCTTCTTAGTGTAGTGGAATTCCAAAAGTCGTCCTTTTGTGCCTAGCATAATTATTTCCACAAAAATGATGCCATCTTTTTCAACATTTCTACATTATTATTGACTGGAGATGATGACTTTGAACATACCAAGTTTGCGTGATTAATAAGTCAAGCTAGCCCAGCAATTCAAATGCAACTCTGTTTTTTTTTTTTAATTATTATTTTGAATTTTCAAAGAAAACTCATACATAATTCCCACATAGTTATAGGTTCCTAGTGGAACTCACCCCTGAATTCATGTCAATAAAACTTCATGTATTTACCTAAACTCATTTGAAAATAATTAATTCAATATTTTAATTTGCACAATTCACACAATACAAATTGTAAAAACATAAATATTTCAATGCCTCGGGCCTCAACTTCGATAGTACCGGGGAATGAAAATATACGGTAATAGGACCTCCTTCCACACGTTTACCCTCTGCACCGGATATTTTCTTTCTTGTTACTAAAGTGGGATTCCAAAAGTTAAGTCCTTTGGTGTCGGCCATATTTATTTCCACAGACATGATGCCATCCTTTTCAAACTTTTTTATGACTCGAGATGATGACTTTGAACACACCAAAATTTACTCAAAGGAAACTCCTTCATAATTTACTCAAAAACAAGTTTGTGCGTAGCTTCCTCCAGGAACTCACCCCTGAATTAATGCCAATAAAACTTCGTGTATTTACTTACACTCATTTCAAAATAATTAATTTAATATTTTAATTAGCACAATTCACACTATACAAATTGTAATAACATAAATATTTCAAATCATGAAGAGAACATAAATTAAAGGTAACTATTTATAAGTGTACAATTATAATTTATAAGCAGTCCAAAAATTTTCTCAGAACAAATGATTAATAAAGAAAAAAAATCAAATAAATATTGCAATCGTGTCTTCCCTCATGCATTTGTTTCCACAACTCCCACTCGTCAAAAATTCCACAATCCTTTTCCCACACAATTTAAAGTGTTAATATTTTAGGATATATATCCTTTTGCATCTTGAGATTTAATTTTAGAGTCAAGTAAATTACTTTATTTTATTTTTTTCAAAAGAAATATTTTGGCATATATTTATAAATATATTTGAAAATAATATACTAATAAAAGAGATGAGTTCATAAAATTATAAAATAAAAATATTATTGTGACAACATTATATTTTTTAACAATAATAAGATTTACAATTAAAGGTAGAATTACTAATTACAAATTTTATCAATGAATTATACATTTTTTTAGATTTTTTTGGTAATTAAAAATTAAAATAAAAAAGATGCATGAATAAATTAATTATTAAATATTTTGTCAAAACAAATAAATTAAAAGTATTTTTAAAAGAATGTAACAAAATTTTGAAATTAAAAATTACGGTACATTTCTATCTTTTCCTAAAGTAAATCCAATATGATTATTTGTTAAAAAAAATACAACAACATAAAATTATAAAATAAAAATAAAAGTGAAAAATGATACCGAGAAGTTGAAATAAGCTAAAAAAGAAAAGATATTGTAGGGTTTAATAAAAAAAAAAAGAA